GGTTTGCTGGTATGTGCAGAGCACGTACCATAGCATCTCCTTTCGTCTCATATAAACCACTGCGGATGGAGACTAACCCTGTTTTAAGGACGAGGTAATTAAAATAGAGAGGTTTCAGAACTCACTCAAGGGCGCACAATAAGTCACAGAGGGGGGACTCAAAATTCTGGCTCACAGTTTCTCCAATAGCATTGCAACACTGCAAAGATTAGCAGCACTGTGGTCATTAGCATCTATTCTTTCCTTCATCTTGAAATCAACAGTAATGGCCTATTAAATGCAGTTTCTAGACTACAATGAACATTTAAGGTCTTCCTTTGGACTGAAATGTCCCCATAGTTCCAAATAAAGCTGATTTGAAGATGGAAAGGACTAAAGAACATTGATCTGAGTACAAGGAAATCTTCAGAAGGGCTTTCAGATTCCCAGTTCTGCTATGAAACACTATCTTTAGTAGTACACACTGTAACATGTTGAAGATGATTCATGAACTGCTGCAGAAATTCATAGATAGGGAACTACCAGAAAGAAAAGCTGGGAACAGTAGAGGAGTCTTGACTGAAAGCAGAGAACATGAGAACAGTGTTTCCCTGTGTTACATTGGCTGTGCAAAGGCATTGGACTGTGTGGCTCCTAACAGACTATGGGTAGCATTGCAGATAATGGGAATTCCAGAACACTTCATTGTGTTCATGTAAACTTGTATCGGGGCCAAGAGGCAGTCAATTGATTATAATAAGGGAATATTTCCCATTTTAAAATTGGGAAAGGTATGTCTCAGGCTGATATCCCTCAGACACACGTATTCAATCTGTATGCTGAGCAAATAATCTGAGAAACTAGACTATATGAGGAAGAACACAGCATCAGGTTGGAGGAGGGTCCTAGCAACCTGTCCATGCAGACGACACAGTCTCGCTTCCAGTGAAGAGGGCTTGAAGCACTTACTGATACCGACAGCCCTCAGGAAGAATTCCACTTCCATATAAAGAAAACAAAAATCCATAACATGATTAATAAGCGACTTCATGATAGATGGAGAAAAGATTGATGTGTTCAATGACTTCATTTTCCTTGACTCCACAATCAATGCTCATGGAAGCAGCAGTCAGGAGATCAAATGAATCCATGTGAATGAGGGAGAGCGGAATGGAGACTCAAAGCCTGTCTGTAGACAATTGGATATTCCCTCACAGAAGGGTCACAAGGAAGGGACTTGCCATAGCATTGATGAAAGATACAACATTTCTCTAATTCTTTAATGCTTCCACCGCCCCTCCCCCCACTATCATGACCCCAGTCTACCTTATTAATCCTGTTAGACCAGAGCACGTATACTGGTACAGATAAGACACAGAATCCAGGACAGATAAACCCCTCAGGAACAATAATGGAAGTAGTGATACCATGAGGGTAAGGGGGAGGGGGAGGAGAAAGGAGGAACCAATCATAATGATTGACCTACTGCCACCCCCACCCCCACCCCCCACCACCAGGGTGACGAACAATAGAAACATGGGTGAAGGGAGACAGTGGACTGTGTAAGATATGAAAATAATAATTTATAATTTCTCAAGGGTTCGTGAGGGTGGGAGAGTGGGGAAGGGAGGAAAAAATGAGGAGCTGACACCAAGGGCTCAAGTAGAAAGAAATGTTTTGAAAAGGATGATGGCAACAAATGTACCAGTGTGCTTGACACAATGGATGTATGGATTGTTAGAAGAGCTGTAAGAACCCCCAATGAAATGACTAAAAAAAAAGAAATCAAATGATATACTGCATTGGGAAAACCTGCTTCAGAAGACTGCTTTGAAGTGTAGAACAGTAGACACATCACTTTGGGGACTGAGGTGTGCCTGACCCAGAGCAGGCTATTTTCAGTCATTTAGTATGCATGTGAGGGATGAGCCATGAGTTAAGAAGACTGAATGGGAATGGATGTCTTTGCATTGGTGAAGCATATTGGAAGTACTGTGGCCTGTCTGCAAAACCAATGTGTCTTGAAAGAAGAAAGAATGCTGCTTAGAACCAGAATGCTGCTTTGAAGCGAGGGTGACCAGGCTTGTCACATGCTCTCAGGAGAGATGAGCCTGGAGAAAGACACTGCTCTGTAAAGCAGAAGTACATCAAAGAAGAGGAAGACCCTCAGTAAGATGGATCGGTACAGCAACAGCAACTGGAGATTCAAACAATTATGGAGATGGGGCAGGACCTGCAGTTGTTTAGTCTATTGGATGTAGGGTCACTATGAGCCAAAATCGACTGGAGGCCAGCTAACTCTAACAACAGTCAGTCCACAGATTGTATAACTGCTTCAGGGTCCTAGGAGTTAAGCAACACTGTCAGGCCGAGGCCATTGGCACGGGAAGGGAGAAAGACAAGAGCAACCTGGGTCCAGCTCTTTATCAACTGTCTGAGCTCAATTTCCTCATCTGCCCAAGGGGGACACGATCTGAACATACCTGCTTCACCTTATTGGGTTGCTGACGGAAAGGATTGTCAAGGCCCCTGGCACACAAGGGAGCCTCAAAAAGTTCATGGAGACAAATTCTCAGTATCTTTCATTGTGTTGCACTACACCGAGGTAAGAGAAGTATTCTGTTTCTCAGCTGAAAACCTTTCCTCCTGTTGCTAAGAGAAAAAGGACGTCGGTTTTCCTTTTCTGCCATCTCCTGCTCTGCGTCCCCCCTCCCCCACCTACCCCAGCTCTTTTTTCCCTTCTATTTTTATATCTTGAGTCCTTCATGTGATGATGTCCTGCAGACTTCAAACTGCATGAGGGTGACAGAAAGGTGAGGCGTGGCGGTGGGGGATTAAAAGAAGCTAGGCAAAATGAAAAAATCTTTTTCCTGCCAGGGAAGATGACAGGTGGGTTCATGGACCACCATTAAGAATGCAGGCATTTCCCCATGGTGCCAGGGCTTTCCTGGATTTCACACGTTTCCCCTACTGGTACTGAACAGGACAGTTCCCAGGAGATGCTGGCCAGCCCCTCTTCCCTGTGGATGGGGACAGAGGGGCTGTGCGAGCACCCCTGAGGCTCCTGGGAGACCTACAAGTGAGGGCTATGGTGAAAGTGAAATGAACATTTATTAGACACTTCGTGTGCCTGCCTGGTTTCAGTGAATCTTTACATTTACTTTATGGAGATGTATATTAGAATTTATCTGTTCTAGTTGAAGGAGAGCCTATTGAAGAGATGAAATGACACCTCTGGAGATCAGAAGATAGCAAGTGGTGGTGAGAACCCCGGCTTCCTGGGCTCCGGGGAAATGGTCTTTCCCTGCCAGCTCACCTTGTGGAAGAGGGGAGGACACTGTGACTGAGGATGCCAGTGAATGGAGAGGGGTTTTTATTAGCTCCTTTGCTTCTACCCATACCTCTTTTACTCCCTTCAGCTGGAAGCCAGAATGATTATACACAAACACACACACACACACACACACACACTTATGGTGTGTGTGTGTGTGTGTGTGTGTGTGTAAAGGAAGGCCCTCCGTGAGATGGATTGACACTACAGCTGTAAAATGGGCTGAAGCACAGGAACAGCTGCGAGGATGGTGCACGAGCAGGCAATATGCATAGGGTCACTACGGGTCAGAACCGACTCAATGGCACCTTACAACAGCATTGTATAAATGATACTATCTCCCCATCATGTAATAATCACACAGATGTGTAACTTCAGGCTTAGAATATAATCAAGTTTCTGTATGACCTCCTCCTACAAGACCAGCCTCCCTCTCCAACGCCTTCCGTACCTTGTTTTCTCCTGACAACTTCCCATTCTCTTTGCATCTAAGCCACAGCCACTTTCCTTCTGTGCTTCAAACAGACGTATTTGTTCTGCCCCAGAACCTTTGCCCCTGCCTCCACATGCCCCCCGGCCCCATGCTTCCTCACACAGGCCTCAGATGACCGATCATTTGGTGAGTCCGTTACCACTCCCATGTTGTGCCCCCATGATTTTCCTAACCCATCCCACTGCCTGTTTAAGGTTCTGTCACAGCAATCATCGGTATGTGCTTTTGGTTATCCGTTGGCTTGTTTCTAGTTTGTGCCCTTTTATTAGAAAGCAGATTCCAAGAAAACAGGGTACTTGTCAGTCTTGCTGAAAATTCCACCCCATCCATAGAAGAGTGGTTGTCACAAAGGAAGCACACAACAAATACTTAGGGCCTGCGTGACCTGGAACGGAGCCAGAGTTCCAGAAAAGGCAAACGTGTGACGGATGGAGGGAAAACGCTGCCATTTGCTGTCACTTATGTGTCAAGCTCTGAGTTTATCTTCTTTGATTCTTACTACAATCTTACAAAACAGATAATCTGACTCCCATATTGCAGGTGAAGAAATTTGCTTAACACCAGTGCTTGCACTTGAGAATTCTGGACTGCCTGCTTCTGTGCCCAAGTGTGTGACTGTGGGGTGTGTGGCAATGTATGTCTGGGGATTCTTTTCGTGTGTGTGTGTGTGTGTGTGTGTGTGTGTGTGTGTGTGTGTGTGCATGTGCGCCTGTGTGCACATACTGAAGCAAAGCTCCATGTGCGTGAGGACACTGGAGCAGTCAGTTTGGAGAGAACCCCCCAAACAATCAGCATGCTTCATTTAGAGAGCTACATCTTGAAGGCCCTAGATCTCAGTGCAGAGCAGACAACCCCGGAACTTGTAGTAGCATGGCTGTGAGTTGTAATCCGTCAGGGATCTGCGGGTGAGGTGAGAGAGCCTGCAGCTATGTGCTGAAGTTCTCATCTTTTGCCCACGTTCCAGCCAGGTCAAGTCTCACCATTGCTTTGGGCGCCTGCATTTTGCACTAGGTGGCGAAATGCTGAGGGGCTCCCCTATTCGGGGGAATGCGGTAGTGATGTATAAGGTATGAAAGATGTGGCCTGCAGAGAGCCGGCACTATCTCCACGGCTGCTACTGCTGCCACTGCTGCTGCTACTGCTCCTGCTGCGGGCGGAGCTGCTGGGAGTGAGTGCCTCCTTCCCGGGATACTCAGCTCCGCAGTCTCCCCAGTGCATCCTGGCCCCGTCCTGCTAGCCCCAGGGAACAAAAGCGGAGTCCGGTCGCCCTCTTCTGCAGCCTGGAGATGAGTCGAGAGGGCTGAGCCGGGAGAGTGGTCCTGGCGGTTGGAAGGTAGGAGGTGTTGCGCCGGCCCGCCGTGGCGTGGGAGGCTCGGGTGGGCGCGCCCGGGCGGGGGCTGATCCAGGGACCAATCGGCCTCATGGGCGCAGCCGGGACCGGGCGAGGTGGTCATCTGGCAAGCGTCACCCGCACTGCCCAGGTCGGGGTGGGCACCCTTTTTCCGCAGCCGAAAGGCAGCCCCCTGGGTGGGAAGCAGCGGACGCGGCGTGGGGAAAAGTCTGAAGCCCGAGGCCGGGCAGCAGCGCCTGCCAAGGGGCTGGCTCCCCGCTGCACTTGGTGGCGCGCAACTAGCTGCGAAAAGCCGGGCGGCGGAGGCTGCAGTGAGCGCAAAGTTTTGGGTCGCGCGCAAAGGCGCAGTCAAGGGCTGCGGCGCAGAGCTGCGCAAGTTGTGACTAGAGCGCACAGGGGACCCCCTGGGGGGACCCGCACGGACTGGTCCAGGGCTGGTGGAAGGGGTTTTTGATCCAGGCCACCCCAGGCGAGGCTGTTGGTGCGCAGTCATTTAACCCTTGCCAGCCCGGGAGAAAACTTCATCCACTCCTGTGGATGGCTGGGCAGCGGCCAGGCTCCAGCCTCTGTGTTCTTGGACACTTTGCCGTCATCCCCGGATTGTCTTCCCCTTTCCTTCTGTACAGTTCGGTGACCAGTAGCCAAGCTAGCCAGGCGAGTGGGCTGGGGGCGTGGGGGTAAGGGGGGTCTCTTCCCAGCCAGTCATTGTACCCCTCCAACAGCCAGTTTTCTCTCATCTCCTCCGTGTGGCTCTTTGATGCTGCCTTGAAAAATGAGATGATTAATCCATTAGGTTAGTGGCCAATTAGGCATAACCTTGTCGGAAAATAATTATGCCCAACTCGCTGGGCTTCCACCAGTGATGAGGTGGGCACCCAGCCCAGGTGGAGGGGCTGTGGCGAAAAGATAGGACTTGGGGATCAGGGGGATTTCTGGGAATTTCAGATTAGCAAGCATTCACATACATGTGCGGTAGTGGCGAAGATTGTGAGGTTGCAGTCTGTGTGTGTGTGTGTGTGTGTGTATAGCAGGGTTTGTTTGTTTTTTTGTTTTTTGGGGGGCTGAAGAAATTAACCCTTGGCAGCACACTCTGGGTGGACTTTTCAAGCAAAGCATGTTTAAACAGCACAGAAAAGGTGTGTCGCCTGCTCATCTGCCTCCTCCCGTTTTTTATTTCATTTTTTTCCTCCAGGGCGGGGAGCTGGGCTAGGAGGTGGGG